GAAACCTGTTCCAAATCTCTCCCTCTACAAGCTTAGGGCATCAATTCACTTTGAAATTCACCACATCAACAAATTCGATTGAGTCAACATCCTGCCTCCATTGAAATGCACTGGTATAGACCTTCACCATTCTTCCTCAGACTTAGCCTAAATTAAACTACATCTAATGGAGACTAACACATGCTATCAAGTTGCAATTATCACACACTCATCCAAGAGATTCGAACACAAACAGATTATGGCACCTGTCACTAACCATCACTAAATCTCTCCAAATTCTTCTAACTTAATCTCCTAACCACCTAGATCAATTCTACACTAACAAAATCATGCCTAACTAACTAGATCGAGCTGTTTGAAGGAAAACTTACCTTGTGCAAAATCTTGCAAACAGCTATGGAGATTGATGATTTGAGACCTCCAAGGCTTGAATCTTGATCCAATTACTCAGGTATAGATTCTGTATGCAGTGTTGTGATGATTCTTTGCTTGAATTTTGCTGTCCAACAGAATTTGCAGCTTTGAGGTTCTTGAAGATAATGCACGAAAATGGATGATAACCACCAAGTCTTTGCTTCAATTATGATCTATGATGATGGTTGAATAAGATTGAATTGAAGTGGATGAAAATTGGTGAGGAATTTGAGAGAATTGTAATGAAACTTTTATGGAAAAGTATGAGAGATTTTGTGGAATTCTTGGTGCAAATGAGGCCAACCCTTGATCAATGCACATCTCATGAATATATAGACCCCAAATGAACATTCTAGATCCATCTTGCACATTCCCTTGTTTTCAAATTTTGATCCATTTTGATTATGTTTCTTAAATGATAAGCAACCATGGATAACTTCATTTTTTCCTTCTAAACTCAAAAAAGTGTGTGAACCATTGTTCTTAGAATTGTTTTTCCATTCAAAATCATATATTGGAAGTCTCCATTTGGACTTGTAAATCTCCCAAACCATTTTCCAACTTGAAATTATTCACTTTATAAGCCTTTTTAGTTCATATTTTGACCAATTGTGTAACTCCATGCTATGAGCCTCTCCAATAACTTGTGACCTTCTTTCTAGACTTAAAATCCCATTTGGAGCAAGTTTGATGTTGTAAGTTTTTCCATTTGAGGCCTCCTTGTATGAGTTTTGGGTATAGGTTAAAATGACCTGTAATTCACAAATGCCCAAAATACCCTTTGCTTGTCAAGACCATAAGTTGAGTTCTCCACATCATATGAAGGCATACCATACCATTCTAGAAAGCTAAGACAATGAGGAACAACTCTTATGTTGACCAAGAATTCATTTGAAATCTCCTTGAGGGGCAAAACTAGCTTGGAAGTCAAGTCACTTTCACAGACAAAAATTCAGACACCCCAGATGACCTGTAACTTGCAAGGACCATAACTTGAGTTCTATAAATCTCCTTGAGGTCTTCCACCACTCAAATTAAAGGTCTTGAGATCCTCTACAAGTTTCATGTTGGCCAAGAAGCCATTTGAAGTTAGCATTTTGACTTATCTTGCTTGGAAATTTGACCTAAACTAGGGGATTTTACAGAGAAACCCTAATTTAGTAACTCCTCTTCTCCTTGATTTCTCTTGAATTCTCCTTGTCATATCTCCATATCCTTCTTCATATGTTCAATATTGATCCCCACATCTCTCCAATAGACTTGAATGCCCTCCTAAGTCAGTCAATTGACCTAGGGTTGACCTAGGGTTGACCCAGATGAAATCCTAGTTGACTGTTTTCAACTGTAGCTCTTGTGCCTTCATCAATGACTTGTTTTCTTCTCCAACTGACTTTATAAGTCTCTCAAGATGTCTAGATGCTCCCCATGCTTTCATTTCACAGCTCATAACCCTCTTGTTGATCCTCAGATACCCTCAGCTAAGAGATGGACTCAAGGCTTGATCTGCTGAACTCTTTGCTTTCAAATTCTTTCTTGATGACTTGAATAGGATTGAATTGGGATAATAACCTCTTGATAGGCCTCTAGAGATGAAAATAATGATTGGTCCCCTGTTGAATGACTTGCTATGCTTATGCTATGCAGATGGTTAGTCTATGTACATGACTCTATATGCAAATGCTAATGATATTGAAACATAAACCAATTGAATAAGGTTGGGCAAATTTTAGGGTGCAACAATGACGACTTGTGCCAGCTTACTCAGAGGTTTACGTCATCCAGCGTTTTCAATTCTCAGGCATCTCTTTTTTCTTTCGGACAAATTCAGGGTCTTTTTTATATCTAATAGACTTCTACCTCAGGAATATGAGTGCCAATGCAGTTCATTCTCCTAGGTTTAAGTCGATTAGATAGGGGCATCTGTCATACCCTAAATTTGTCCTACCCATTTGTAAAATATTTTTGATTTTCTTTCTATTTTATTTTCGCTTGTGCATTGCCCGTTTTTATCTGGACAACGTGTACGCTTGAAATTGGTTGATTTTTCAGAACTTCATCTTTTTTAACCAATTAAAAAGGGTGGCACATGGCTTAATACAAATTCTCTGTGAATATTATTTTATTTCAATTTCTCAACTTTTCTCTTCCTTTTAAAATATTTCTAGTAATAATAGTATTTTGTATATATATTAGATTAAAAATATTAATTAGATTTATATCAATTTATTTGTTAGTATAATATTATTTTTTTTAGTTTTATCAATTTGTTTGTTATAATTAATAGTTAGTATTGTTAATTTTAATTAGTAGTCAATTTGTTTATTTAATTAAAACAAAACAAAGCAAAATATTGGAATTTGTGTTTGGTTCACATGAGGCCCACCGTGGAGGCCCATTGGAGGCTAAGGGAGAGTCTGCAAGTTATAAAGGGAAGGGGGAAATTGATGCTGAAGAAAACCCTAATTTACTGTTCACGGGCGCCCCTTTCAGAAACCCTAGAAATGGGTACTGTTCATTCCCTTTCACCATCGAGAATCGGCGCCGAAAACCCCAAACCCTAAAAAAGCTTTCTTCCCAATCCACCGCCCCTTTCCTCAAATCGTTATCAAAATCCTTCGTTCCGCCCACCAAAAATATTCATCTCCCTCCTTGAACGAACCACAAAACCCTTCCGTCTCTCTTCTCCCTCATCTATCAATTATCACCATTCTCACCATCATCCTCATTTTTTCAAATCCAAGGCGGAACTTTGATCTTCCTTTCGAACGATAGTTGCAGTCGCCATCATCATTGTGCTCCCCGTCGGACAACCCTCGAAATTGCAATCACAATGGACTAACGCATCCTCTCCGTGAAGCTCATGTCTACTCTCGACTGGTGTTGCATCGATCTGAGCAAGGTTTCGGCGACATGAATCAACGACGATATCACTGAACCCAAGCACGCAACCATGTCGCAACATTCTTTTGACTGGGTTATGATGTTGGTAATACTCCAGGTTGGTTCAAATACGATGTTATCTTGATGTTAGCTTTAAGTCATGTAGTGAAGCTGTGAACATTTCATTTGGAGCCTTTTACGTTTGCATCGCATATTAATCATAGTTGAACTGATGGATGAATATGCAAAATAATGATGTTTTGCGCTTCTAAAACAGATGATGTATGTCTCTAGATTTTTGTTAATGCTGTGTTAAACCCAGATTTGCACTGAAGCTACATGGTTATTTCAGAAACCTCTATTTGCTTTGGTTTTGCTTTTCGTATTTCACAGGGATTGGTTGTGTTCCTGCCACAAGAAATCTACTGATTACAGCAGTTGAAATCAACAATACTCGACAACTAGGATTTGGTAAAGCGATTCAATATGTATTGTTTTCTGCTTTTCATTTAGGTTCAGATCTGTAATGTGGTGGTTTGTTGTTTTCATTCAAATGTATCGTAATAAAATGTTATACTTCAAACAATGTTGCTGTTGCGAGTCGTTTTTAAAAAGAGGTGTTGAAGTTTCAATGTGTATCTTGTGTCAAGGGAAGCAAACTATTTTTTACTAACATTTTGTTCACATACGTGAATGAATTTGTGAAGATTATTTTTGCAACAGGTTGTACCGGTATAGCACTCATGGTTTATTTGTAGGTCAAGGCTGACATTATGGAAACTCTGGTTTTGGAAACGCCGCGTTAAGATGACTTGATGTTCAATCCCAAATTGTTTGGTTCTGCAGGTCCATATGAGAAGGATGAGTTGTGTTAGAGGCTCAAATATAATTTTGGTTTTGTTTTTCTATTGGTTGTGTTCTGTTTGGTTGCAGGTTCAAACACCCCCAAAATCACCATTGAGCATTATGCAATTGCGACATCGCCAAGTTCGGTCAAGCCGCGAAAAGATCAATCTTCAGTTCTTAAACACAAAAATGCAGCAGCAGTATCTCGATCAATGCTTGGTCCTAACAACATCACGACGAGCGCAGCCACCGACATCAACGTCGACACATTCAGCTCAACAGCTTTTTAGCTCACGGCGATGACTCGACAATGATACTACATCAACAACAATTTATGATGACTGGCTCAATTCCATTTCAAGTTCACAAAGAATGTGTATTATTGTCTGCGACTGTTTTTATGTGCAGTGATTACAACATGACAGCAAAACGGCAGCAACTCGACTTTGTAACCAAGCGACATCTCAACAGGGATTTCGTTAGCTCGATACTGATGGTAATAATAAGGAAGGTCTTCGTTCAATGCCGACATCAATTTTTTGCGGTAATCGTTGTTTTTGATTTAACCCGTAATATGTGTAGTTGGTTGCCCTTGTATCTCATGTCACAAATCCCTCGAAATAGATTTTGTATTGCTGGGATTGCTTTGGGTTATTTTTGTGTTCTTTATTTTGTTCCTGTTAATCTACTGTCATTAGAGGGTTTGCAGATTTGTTGGCGTGATCATGCTACTACCAGAAGAAAGCATATTGGTGTATTCTTAAGTTTAATTCACTGCTTCATGATAGAGATTTTGTGATAGACACGCACTGTGTAAACCATTTGTTTAGAGATCCCTCAATGTTTCAATTTCAACCTCCATGGCATTGATTCTCCTAATCGCTTGTATCATTTTTGTTTGGATAACTTCTCTATTCAAAATTTTCCTTCTTGCTCACATCCGTTCCACCAAACATTTTACGCTGAATGGTAGAGCTTTTCGGAAGAGAAATGTCTTACTGGTTATTGCTCACCCTGATGATGAATCCATGTTCTTTGCTCCAACTATAAATTTTCTGACATCAAGAGGGCATAATGTTCAAATACTCTGCTTATCTAATGGTGATGGCGATGGCAAAGGGAATGTTGGAAAGCAAGAGCTTTATCAGGCTTGTGTATCCCTCAAGGTTCCAATGCAACAAGTGAAGATTATCAACCATCCAGATCTGCAGGATGGTTTTGGTAAAGTTTGGAACCATAGCTTATTGGCAAAGATTATTGAGGAAGAAATAACCAGTCACTGCATTGATATGATTATTACTTTTGACAAATACGGTGTCTCGGGACAATGTAATCATCGTGACGTGCATTATGGAGTATGGTAATCGCATCATTTAGCTATTTAGATTAAATCCAGTTGACTGATCACATCATTTTTTCTCATTCTTATGCTGCTACCATAGACTAACCTGAAAAAAAACTCCATGTTGTAATGTAAGCAGCTTGTTTTAAGACAATTCTAATTTATTTTTTTAAATAAAACCTTAGAATATTTTTAAATTTATTTCCAAAATTGGGTTAATTACTTTTCTTAAACCTTAAATTTAATTTATATTGTTTATTCACACTAATTCCCTAATCCAATCTATTTTTTTACACACAATATTTTCTTAATCAACAACGAAAATTAAACTCTTAAGGTCTAGCACCTCTTGGGTTTTGAGCAATTATTATTGGGGCGTACGCTTTGGATAATATTGTTCGTTTTTCGTTATGCTCTTAATTATTTGAACAAAAATATATTATAGGAGTCTAGCACTCTGTGTAATATATTCGTTGTTTATTCAATCATTATTTCTTAAATTAAGTCAAAACCGTCCTCAAAATAAATAATTTTCCTAATCTTCATTCAAATTATTTTCTAATTAAATCATGAGTAACTAAATTCTTGAAGTCAAGCACTTCTTGAATTTTTGAATAGTCATTATTAAGGTGTACACCTTAAATAGTGTATTATTCGACTTCTCATTTTCAAAATTATCTTTTTTTCTAACAAAGAAATATCATGAGAATCTAGCATTCTTTGTGATATTTCCTTTGTTCATCCAAACATTTTTCAAATGAAAAAGGTGTTGTCGAGATCTAGCATCACGATGATACCCCAATTAATTAGTTGTGAGGCCGACGTCTCATTTACTAAATAATTGTCATTTTCAAATTCAATCTCGCGTTCTCACCTCTCACACGTTCACAAATTATTTTTATACCACATTTCGTTTCAGATCATTTTCAAAACATTTCTCTTGATTCAAAATTCGAAAGAAGGAGGTTCTTGGAGTCTAGCATTCCTTGAATTTTCAAGTGAATAATTCTCAAGGCACGCCCTTTGAATTATTATTCATTCAATCTTTCGACTTTTCCAAATCATTTTTCAAACATACTTTCCGATTCCAACTTCGAAAGAAGGAGGTTCTTGGAGTCTATCACTCCTTGAATCTTCGAGTGAATAATTCTCGAGGCACGCTCTTGATTTATTATTCACTCAACCTTTCGACTTTTTCAAACTCAAACATTTTCAAACGTATCTTAAGTCGAGTGTTCATACGCATTCGCAACCATCGACATTTCGCACACACTTCACAATTCCGCATGGTTTCGATATTAGGGGCACCCTTAGGGACTAATATCGTTTCTCACGATCTTAACCCTTGACACGTCGTCAAGTCGGTTTCATCTTCAATCAAATCCTCGACACGTCGTCGAGCCACTTCAAAACCACTTCCTTTGGCCTCGCATGCCATTTTTTTGATTTCGATCTTTTCACAAACATTTTTTTTAACTTACGAAAGAGGGATGTTCTTAGAATCTAGCATTCTTTGAATATTCGAATGATTAACTCTTGAGGCATGCCCTTGAGTTGTTATTAGTTCATTCTTTCGATTTCAAAATATCCAACTCTTATCTTCAACTCATTCAACCCAATTTCCGAAAGAACTGAGTTCTTGGGATCTCGCATTCCTTGAATTCTTGAGTGACAAGCTCTTGAGGCACGCCCTTAGGTTGTTTGTCAGTCACTCTTTCGTCTCAAACTCAAACTTCACCCCTTTTCAAACCTAATCACTTCGTGGTTGTTACCACGAACTACGGACGCTCTGATTCTTTATTCATTCTTGAATACAAGATACGTAGGCACAAGATTGCGATGATCTTGGCGAGCACACTTCTATCTTCCTCCATTATTCCGTCCATCCCCCATCCTTTCCCGTAGTCGAACTACGACGCTCTGATTTCTCATTCTCGTCCGAATGAGCATACGTAGGCACAAGGGCCCCAATCCTTGGCGAGCACCCTATCTTCTAACCACCCATCTCTCCTTAGCATCTTTAACCTTTTACCCTACCAATTCTACCTTTAGTAGCGAGAAGAAAACCAGTAAACCTAAACAACACTCCCCGCAATTACCTTAAGAGGTTCCCGTCGAGTACGACGGACGTGAGGGGTGCTAATACCTTCCCCTCACGTAACCGACTCCCGAACCCGGAACTTGGTTGCGACAGCCCTGTTCCTATCCTTTCGTTTTTAAGAGGTTTTCTCGATATTTTCCTCTCCCGTTTATTTCGGGAAAAATAAAGTTCGGTGGCGACTCTGTCGAACCGCAACTTTTCCGCGCCTTTCGCGCGAGGGTCGTATTTTCGAATGTGATTTTTCGAGGTGCGACAACTTGCAATTCGTGCACTTGGGGAAGTATGGGCTTGGAATCTATAGATTTAAAATCAAAGTATTTAGAGATTAAGAACTTTTTCGTACCTTCTTCTTCGGCTTTGAATTTAAACTCCAGTGAATTCCATATGTCTCTAGTGGACGGATTGTCTGTGTATAGGTCGTATAGACGGTCAGACAGCGTGTTCAGAATATGTCCACGACATAGTAATTCGTCCTCCCTTCGCAGCATGCGCTTCTTCTTGAGTTCGTCAGAATCATCTTCAGTTGGTTCTGGAATTGGTGTCAGATCAGGATTCAAGACGTAGTGAACCTTGAGTGCAGTAAGCAGGAATGTCATCTTGTCTTGCCATCTGGTAAAGTTGTTTCCATCGAAGTGATCCAATTTGATAAGATCATGATTCATAACCTTGATACTTGAAACAACAGCGTCAGAATCCATGATACAAATACTTTTAAGATTGTTAGATAATCCTTCAATGTCGAATGGATCCAGACTGAATCGTGAACGAAATCACTTTCCTTAAAAGTATTTCAAGCACACTCTCAAATTGTCTTAGAGTTGGAACGGCCTGAATACCCAGGATAAGTCAGCCTTTTTCTCGAAACTGCACAAGACTGGTGAAGTTTCGAATGCAAGGAAAATGTTTGGAATTATATAGAAGAGGATATCAGATTTTGGATTATGTAATTTCGAATTATCAAGCATATATTTATAGCCATGCATGTGTCTTTTCAGAAGTTTGCAATTCTTCATAAACACACTCTCTAATGAGCATTTACAATGGTTCAAATAAAATGTCATGCACCACTTCGTGAAGTGTCATATATTTCAAATTCAAATTCAAAAATCAAACTCTAGGCAACGAATGAAATCTGGAGCGATAATTAAAATAAATTCGCAGTATACCGGCCGAAGGCCGGTCCGCCTCAAGTGCCGTCTACAAGCCGCCACTAGCGCCTCTACGCCCTCGGATCCGGGGCCGGAGCCGGTGTCGCCGGTGGCGACACCGGCGAGAGGTGTGCCACCGGCGAGAGGTATTTTGTATGAGACAAGTGACATAAGTTTTGGCACCACCACATATGACTATGTGGCACTTTATCCTCTTTGACTCCTTTGGAAATTACATTGTTCCAAGTGCCTTATAAATGCTATTTAATTTTACTCCACTTCCAATGTGGGACTAAGCATTTATTGTAAATTAACTATAACATCCACTTTGTCATTTTGGAACAACTTTAATGGAAATAAATTATTATTTCCAACAACAACTGGTTATTAAAACCAATTCTTATAACCAGTTTTTATCTTTTAAAATAGTTATAAACCGGTTATTAACCGGTTATATCCATAACCAATTTTATAATTAGTTTTGATTTAATTTTATTTTAAAATTGATGTTTTCAAAATTATAATATTACTATGTGTAAACTTAATTTCTTTTTAAAATTTCACAATATACTAGTAACAAAATATATAGGTGTGTATTTTCATCAAAATATATAGAAATCAACATATTAGTGATCAACAAGAGTAACTAAAAATATTGTTACGAAGTGAAAATTTAATTCTCTTTAAAAATTAACTTTACTAATATTTTAAATATATAGTAACTAAAAATTACTATATTGATTTTAAATATACAGGTTTATTTGATTTTAAATATATGGGTTTTAACAAAATATATAGGTTCATGTTGATTTTAAAAAATTAACTTTATTAAAAATTATTTTTTAAAATTTTTTGGAAAAAAAATTTTATTTACTGAAAAAATTAAAACAATATTTTTTTCAAAATAAATTTTTTTTTTTTTTTGAAAAAATTTTTCAAAGTTTTTTTTTAATTAAAAAAATTGACTAATTTAATTTTTATTTTGGTTATTTTGAAACATGAATAAAATAATTAGAGTGATATATATAATAAGTGATATGAAGGAGATATTATATAGTTTAGATATCTTGAATAAAACGTTTTGCAAATCGGTTGTGAAAATTTTAAACAAACTCTTTCTTAATCATCTTGAAGAGAGCAATATAGACTTTTAGTATAATACAATCATACTAGAATAAGTATTTAGATATTTTAACAGGTAGCGCAGATGTGAAACTATTATTGTGCAACAATTATATTAACAATTAATAAATTGTATAATATGTAAGTCTATGTTAATATATACTAATAATAAAAGATGATTGGTTTAACATTAAATTGGTCATTCACTATTAAAAACACTCACTTTAGATCACTCGTTCTTATACTTCAAATAAAATTAAATGGTAAATTTAAAATGACGTGACATAAAATATAATAAAATAGAAATCGTATAGATTGATATTATTTATATATTATTTATCAAATAGTAAAATAATTAATTTTTAAAGCTGGAATTGAAATGAAAAATAAATTGGTTTCCGTCAACGATGTTTTAAAAATAAATAGTAAAATAATTATGACGGAAAAAATTTTATTTACTGAAAAAAAATTAAAACAATATCTTTTTTTCAAAATAAAAATATTTTTCTTTTGAAAAAAATTTTCAAAGTTTTTTTTTAATTAAAATTTTAATTAATTTGGTTTTTATTTTGGATATGGATGTCCAAATTATGGATTTGGTTAAAACCATATTAAAAATATATCCAAAATGTGGATTTGGTTAAAACCATA